CAAAGTGAAAAAGTCGAGTTGGTTGGGGGAACAGAAGAGTTTCACAGATGTAAAAGATACAGACACAAAGGTAGAAAAAGGTGATGTGAGTACGGTGGAAGTAGTCGAATGTGACATACAGTAAGGTGATGGTAGTTTGAAGTCAGAAGTCAACTGCCGAATAATAGAACTTTTTGCCGTATGAGTTTACGTTACCCAGGGTACACCACGTGGAGGTAACTTTGAGTGAATATTAATCGTTGTTGGAGTGTGCGATAGACTTATCTCCACGTGGTGCATCCCGGGCAGCGTATACATAAACCCCAAAAAGGTCTATAAACCGACAGTTAACATCTTACTTCAAACTACTACTAAACGACTGTATGTCATATTCACCCACTTCCATAGTATTCACCTTACCTTTTTCTCAACTTTTGTGTCTGTCTCTGTAACATCAGTGAAGCACTCATCTGTTCACCCTCCCCCTCAGCATTTCGTGATTTTAATGTTCCACCCCTCTATGAAGAGCGAAGTCAACTAAAGGTCTAATATCAACTGTCGCAAAGCCTATCGCTTGATAATAATTATTTAATTAATTGCTGGTAAACTGAAAATGTCTCAGAAGTACCTAGTTGCGTTATTGACTCCGTAATATGTAAAGATGGCATTAAAATATCCTCCACATTAGATGGACAAAGAATTCTACAAGTTCACTATTCAATTAGCGTCAATAGTGGATTATCACGGCAATAAAAGTCTATTTCGAATACTTTCATGCTGTGATAAGAAGCACGCCTTAGAATTTGATTATAATAAAAGAAAATATAACTGCTTTTAATATGTGTTTTTAAAAAGTTCGCCCCATAATTTAAAAAAGATGAAAATTAGAGCCAACATTTTTATTTAAAATTCAAACAATTTCAAAGTACCATCGAGGTTAACACATAACAGATATTATTTTCTTAAATCTACAAATTTAAAATTTCAATTGTTTCGTTATCATCGCTAACGTGAGTTTTTTCATTTAAAACTTCAATTTCAGTATCTGGTTGGATCGGGGTTTCCTCAGTGGCATTAAGAAAATCGAAATTCGGATTATTAAAAACAGCAACTTTAACATTTTTTAGATCATTTGAACTCTTCTGGCTTATCTTGCCTAAAACCAAACAAGGAATAAAGAATAAAAGATATCTCAAGAACAAGAAATAGGGAAACATGAGAAGGAACGAAACACTCAAATCACTTACTCTTCCACAACATCGCAAGGTACTATGTAGGTATTTAAGTGTTATAAATACAAGCATTCAAGTTAGAAATGCATTTTTATGTAACATACTTTTTTGCTCTTCAGGAACGAACAGCTCAATTGTTTCTGCGTTCCATTTCGAGACTTTTGAATCATCTGAATCGTCAAGTACTTCACCCGGTCCGATGGGGAAGATGTGATATCTCCCAGTTTGCTGACAATTCAATTTATCGAACATATAACTGCCTTCTCCAAAGAGCTAATATAACTCGTAGGAAACCAATTTGAAATAACCTACATGTCCTTTATGCCAATTTCCAAGAAATCGATATTTGGGAGTAATTACTTCACTTGCCCCATGCATTTTACCCTTCCGCCATTGACCGATAAACTTGGTGCCATCTTTACAAATATAAGTTCCTTTTCCATGACGAACATGATCTCGCCATTCGCCCTCATATATGTCTCCATTTATATAATGATAGGTTCCATAACCATTTCTCTTATTTTCCACCCAATCACCTTGATAAAAAGAGCCGTCAGGATAATAAAACGCCCCTTTTCCATGCTTAACATTATCTAGATATTCTCCAAAATAACGAGCTCCATTTACAAATCTTATATTGATTTAGATTAATAGGATCTTACGTGTAGAGCCCTTCACCATTCCTCAGACCTTTTTCGTAATAGCCTTCATATGTGTCATGATTAGGCAATACTGCCTTTCCATATCCATGGCGTTCTCCCATTTCATTTCTTCCTCCTTCGTATGTCCCAAAAAATTCCTCCTCTTCAAACTCTTCTTCCTCTTCTTCTGACATGATCTAGGTTTATGGAAATTGTTACAGATTCGAAGGATAGTGGGATACTGTTACTATGACTTCGATAGAGTAAAACACGCTTAGGGCAGTCAATTTACTCATAAATGAAGTTTTGAAACAATTGATGATATATATTTTTATATATCTCAATTTTATTAAAATATGATTTATAATGTTTTTGTTCACAATATTTTAAGCATATAATAAAGATATTTAAAGGACGTTATTTATATTTATGCATATAAATGTAATTTGTCAGTAACTTTTATTTTATTAACTTAAACAATAAACGACATCATCTTTTGCAAAAAATAAATGTGAAACAATACGAAGCTCATTTTAGTTCATCCGGTAACTGTATATCGTATTACAATTCATATTTATATAAACCTATTTGAGAAATATATTGTTGAACCTAACACTGATGCTAGCAAAAGTGATTAATCTTATACTCTATCAATATCTTTTACTCTTTTCTCTATGGATGCAACGTTGGAGGCCAATCGTTCGAATAATTGATTCCGGCTTTACATTTAATCGGAAATATTGCACTAGCAAATATAACAAAATGTTATGAAAAACATAAGAGATCATTAAAGATAATAAAATATACAATTTTACTCCAAATGCATTCGCGTCAAATCCAAACATAAATACATTCGGGAAGTATCTCTAGTGCTTGTTACGCTTGGCAACAATTAATGGAAGAATTGATCAACGGCTGGCTAAATACAGTGATAAACAAAAACAAATAAGAGATAAGAGAAGCAGGGATAACAGAAGGCCCTGAAACAAGCCTAAATCGTAGTCGTATCGGCCTTAGATCCAGCCACTTTGGAAGAGGAATTGACAAAGACTTGTGATAGGGCTTTTAGAAATCTCTATGGCTGAGGATGTTGCCCAGAGTTTGGAGGGGTTGAAGATGATAGAGAAGGGGAACGGAGTCGCTCTTCCAACTCCATTTCTTCCTCACTTTCCTCTTTTACCGGTTCTAAAGCTGGCTCCTCTGCCACAAGGGTGGTTTTGACCGGCTAAGAGAAATGAAAATAGCTTAACTCATTCATTTTGAGATTATACACCATAAGAACAAACGTTTTCATACCTCAGTTCCACTAGGAGGCGTATTCACACTAGCTGAAGCATTCCAAACCTCTCCAATCGGATTTTGAGTTGGAATTGAGGATATTTGAATTGTCGAACGGATTGGGAGATTACCCATAGGAACACCAGCTGTAGTGATGACTTCACCAATCTCTCCATCTGTAATCAACCCATCAACCCCATCAGCAACGCCACACTCTTCCCCACCAATAGGAATCGAATCTCCTTCTACTATTTCAGCAGGAAGAGTCATCTGGTTGTCCGAATCTGTAGCTGTCAAGAAGAGACTAGAAGGTAGAGGTGCAGGAGAAAGGAATGTTGGCGGGTCTGAAATAGTCGTTTGAGGAGGCAGTGTGGGCTGTTCTACAGTTCCATGTTCGCAGACATAACTAACAATCCCTGAGTCAAAATTCGAGGGCTGCTGATTTGATGAAGACGTCTGAAGCTGAATGGAGGCAACTTGTGACCCAATAGTTGTTGGTTGTAGCTGGTTGATATTCACGCCTGAACCAGAGTTATTGGCGGTAACACCAAGAGTATCTGCACAATTTGTTTGTGCGACAGCCGGTGGCGAGAGTACAGTCGTAGAACCATATTCTTGTACACTACTATCACCGCCATCGAATTCGTCATCAACATAAACACCACTTTAAATGAAAACAATAACGGTTGGTGTTTAACCACAAAGAAAGCACATACTATAAACTATACTACTATAAACGAATCGCTTACACTCCACCACCAGCCACGACTCCTGGGCCAGCATTTGAAAAGTTAGCAGAGACGGTCTCCTTCTTTGAAAGAGCTCTAAGGGGTGCTGCGAATATGGCAGCCAGGAGAAAGGAGCCTGCAGCAAAGAAGAAAGTTGCTTCAGATGCATAAACAAGGGGAGCTTTATCACCAGCCCAAGGTAGAAAATGTGGCGCTCGAGAGGCCAGAACATCGAAAATGTGACCTACAGAGAAACATAAGATACCCATACTGCTGATAAATAATTAGTAGTATTATTGAATGAAGTAACACGCACCACCAATGACTGCACCCATTACGCATGATAAGCCCTGCACAACCAGCATATGGCCAAATGCATTGGTTAATTTATCCAATCCAAAGAGCTCAACGACAAGGATACTCTTTAGAGACACAACGACGGCTAAAAAGAACAACGAGAACGGTTTGGTGGTAGTGCTCATGTAATTAGCGCTATAGATAATACCAGCCGATACATACCGGAGAAGAGGCCAAAGAAGCTGCCCATAGCGACAATGCAGTTGTAACTACGTCCGGCAATGGGAAGAATAGCACAAGCCACCCCAGCTAATAGAAGGGAAGCCACATTTACACGCAGACAGTCGAGCCATTTGTAGTGACTAGACCAGGCTGAATTTAGAAAGAGAAATATGCTTTTTTAAAGGATATGGAGAAACCGGTTAACATAAATGATACATAAAAGAGTCAAGTACAGACCATTGGTATAAATTCAATTGTATTAAATAGAACAGATTTTTTAAAATTAAATAGGATTTCACACAAATGCCCACTCTATAAACCTCAACGTCAAATTATAATAACAGAATTGGGATAGAAAAAAACAGAAATGTTCATTCGAATTGACATACTGTATAAGTAAACACGATGTTCTAGAAGGAATGGAATAATGATGTAATGGTGATTTTCGGATAAAATACAACAGAGACCTTGAAGTAGTGCAAAATTCAATAGGTAGAATTCAAAACTAATGAAGGCAAAAATAGAACAGTTTCCCTACAAAAACCAGCGCATCAAAACTTGATTAAGAAAAACGGAAAGGGGAAGAAATATAGGAAACTTAAAAAAAGAACAGTGATATCTGGATCTACTTAACCATTATTACAACAATTACCATTTGCTCATCGTTTTTTACATTTATTCCACAGGGTGTTCAAAAAAACTTACCATTCGATAGTATTCCCCACCCAGAAGCAATTTAAAACAAAAATTCAAAACAAACAAATTATGATGACATTGAAAAGGGAAAAATGATTAATTTATCCATTAATTATCGATAAATCATGCAACAAAGAATAGATCTGTCTCTCACCTTTCTCTATGTAGAGTGCTAAAATAAAAAAATTGAAATTGAAACACAAATTGCCTATTGGGGACCATTATATGCAATTAAGTAGCTAACTTACTGGCAATACAGCGTCCGATGGTGTTTGCGAATCCAATGTAGGAGATGATAGAACCCGCTTCATGCAGAGTCCAGTTATTTTCAGCAACTATATCTGGAATCATCAGGTATGGTACCAGAAGACCTAAGGAGGATACAGCATTCAAGGTGTACAATATGAGGAAAGACATTGTCCACTAACACCTAAGGGCACTTACCCCACATAGTAAATACATTGGAAAGGAGCAAGCAAATGAATGTTGGACTAAGCAAGAGTCCAGGAGAAAGTAACTCCTCCAGGAACGCCATAATGGGACTGGAGAGGCAATCGCAGCGTTTCCTCCTGCCACCATTCTCTTCATTACCATCTTCTTGGGGTATGTTCAGAGACATCATCTCTTCGCCTTCCTCAAAGTCCATCATAGACGTTTCTCCCTTTCCCTGGGATATTTTAGCTGAAGAAGGAGCCCCAGTCGAATTTACATTGGCGGCAGTGTTAATAGGGATGATAGGAGTACCGGCGGTTGTGCTATCCGTCTCTGGATTGAATCCGCGAATAGAGACGGCGGGATTCGGGCTAGTGGATATGGTGTTATTTGCGTTAGTAGCATTGTGAGAAACTGGACCTATATCCCAGTTTGAGTGATCGCGAGTTGTCTGTAAAGGAAATAAACAAAAGGATTTATAAAAGTCCAATGAATGAGGTACATCTAACGAAAAAACGGCATAAATGCTCTGTTTCCCACTTCCGATACCTTCTATTGGCCATTATTTAGGTAATTAAATACGTCTTGTCAATAATGAACAATCACTCTTCCTTCTTTACCAACTAATCATTCCTCTATTCCATTCTCTTAATAAAATTTAGGTAATGAGATTGGTTCGCCTATTTGCTCTCAAGTTAAAAGCTCAGATTTCACAAAACTTTGATGAAGCTCTAGGCCACCGCTGCTGTAATTGACCGTGAGAAGTCTTATTAGAGTAACCGCAAATATTGGGACTCCACTTTCAAAACAAACTCCATTGGAACTAGACTCGTAGCAGAAGGCCGTTTGAGACACAGACAATACGTGTCTTTAGCCTTCGCCTGATACACCACCAAAACTCATTACGTCGGTGGAATCAGTCTACTGCTGTGAGACACGCGTGAGTGCGGTTGGGTGCATTTTTCAAAAAAAAATTATTCGGACGTTAAGAGTTTAAAAATTAAAAAGAAAAGTCGATGACATAGATTAGTTTTCAAGCACCAGTGATTATCCAGCATCTCAATGAAGTTTCAAAAGGAATTTAGGGAAAAATCAAGTATATATCACACATTCAACTTTTTACCAAATAATTCCAAATTTTAAATTGGATTATTACATCAACAAACAATAAAATCGATACTTCACCCGATTTATTGTTCGGAATTTCCGGTAAAATAACTTACCCATTCGGTACCAGATTGAAGTGACCTAAGAAACTTTTTGAAAAGTAGAGTAAAAATGAAATAACACTAAGCTTAAACTATAGGCAGAACTAGTACAGAGATACAAGTGTTCAAGTTTATAATGGCGGAAAGTGTCTTCCAAAAGGAAGCATTCCATCTCTCCTCGTCTCTAGGTTCCTCCTCTAGTTTGAGAGTTACATCACATTCTTATTTGCAATGCCAATTGCCACTTCCATTTTTTCACTTATTCAATTCACCATTCTATTTTTCGATCCTAAAGAACAAGCGTTGCCCCTCAAGTACCCGTGATACGAGAATCTCATCTCAGTTATTTGCTATTGTCTGGTTGTTAAGCTAGTCTTGTGCGGTTAAACTTCCGACTTCATTATATCACCATGTGGTCTGGGAAAATGAAACATACCAAATAGCACTGGGTTTGATTCACATGCTGCAAAAATTATACTTTTATATATCTGCTTCTTTTCAACTCAATTATCATAGCCCATAACAAGTTAGACCGCAATTTGAGCACGTACAGTTGGTGTAGTTTCGAAAAGAGTTGAGACACTATTTTTTCATCTTCTAATTCTAAGTGCTTCAAGGACTCTTATAAAATGTATCTAATTGCGATCAATTAGATATCAGATAAAATAAGCCCCAATGGTAGGCAGACGTACCCAAAGGGTACCAGCATCTCCCAGAGGTATAGCAGACACTGGCGTATGATCCAACTGTTGGGCAGATCCTGTGAAGAACAGATCCTTCTTGTATTGAGGTCGCATAAGCTCTCTTCTAAGACGGTGTTGTACCTCTGCTCTTACTTCTTCATCCAGAATTTCAGCAACTTCTTGTTGAATTTCAGGAGGAATTACAACGCCCCCACGATTTGACGAGGTAATAGAAGCATCCGATATTGTCCGACGCAGACTAAGACACTAAAAGAAAAGTACTACTTAAAAAGAGAATTAAGTAGTTCGATCAGAAACTAAGGGGCGAGCAATATAGCTTGTAAAACAAAACTATCAGCGAGGAGGGTAGATAAAATTAGCATGACATACTAATGAAAGGAAATCAGGACAAATCAGAAGTCACATCATTTAAAGATGCATCATCGGAAGAAAACTCGCTTTCGTCAGGATAGCGGGAATTATTTGGACTCCATGAAAGCGTACCTATATTTTAATAAGGCAATCAAATAAGAACGGTTACAATCTTATTTAATACATTAGAATTGTGTGCAAACCTCTAACTGTAGAAAACTGTACCCTAGCCGTCACACATTGTACGCTTAATAGTGTAAGTAGATGGTATTATGTAAACACTGACGTCAATCTTCATGTCCATGTAAGTGAGTTTTCAATTAAAACATTCCAATATTTTAGAACCAATAAGCAACAAGCACTATGAAGACGAACCAGCAAAAGAAAAGCTATAGAATTAATGCCATTCAGACAGGTTTAAAGGGATATCCATAACACCAACGTCTGAATAAACCAACACGTACAGGATTGAATTTACGGTTCATAAAAACGAGTGATCTCTTATGAATCAGCAACTTACAATATGGTACAGAACAGTCCAAATGAAGACTTATCTAGTGTTTCGCACAAAGGAAGCCAAATTACTGCATTACGATACAAACATGCGATCCTGCTAAAGTATTCAATTACAATAAAAAAATTTTCTACCGAAAAACGATAACAAAACAAACATAACACATCGGCCAAGCATACAAGAACGATAAACAACGCAAATTAACTCGAAGTGACTCAAATGTGCACGGATGAGTAGAGAATGCCTAAAACATGCATATAACTGTGATAGTAAAGAAGATAACCTCCGCAAAACGAAAGCACAGTAAAATAGCATGAATCAAATGTGACAAATTTGAGGACAAACAAACATATAACTTACCTCCGAGTTGCAGTTAGACGAAATGTAGAATCGGCGCGTAAAAGCTGGAGATGGTGTATTCACGGTGACGACCGTCAAGTCGCGGCTTTGCAACAAGGAATTAGTCCCACGCGCCTTTTTATTTTACACATGAATATTGAGGATGTGAATGGGTGAACGCAAACGAGAGAAAAGTTCACATGCAAACTCACAACTACTTATAGCATTTCAGTAACATAAAGAAATCAAATCCATGACTAATAGTGAGAACAAAACGATGATAGCTAAATATAAGCTCAAAGAGAAGCTAAACGGCCCTAGTTGCCAGCAGTAGCCAAACCAACCTTTTGTGTCTGAGGGGTACTATTGCCACCGGTCTGGTAGATACTGGTAGCATTACTGACTGATCGAATTCTCGAATTTGAGGAATGAGCAGTGATATTGTCATAACCAGGACCAGGAGTAGGATTTGCGGAAGCCATCCCAGTGGCTGCGACAGTCCCAGTAGGAGTAGAGAAGTTAGCGCCACCACCTGATTGGTTAAGCTGTTTAGCCATGTAATTCTGTACAGCGATGGAAGCTTGAGATTGGACGTAGTCCTGTACCAATTGGGGCAAGCTTTCGCGAACGAGGTTCAGACGAAAGAGCTACAGAGAAATGGATGTGAATGCAAAATACCTAAGCGCAATAGGACTGATTATGAGAAACTAAACTCTGAATAGAAACGAATTTACGACATAGCAAATAATCTCTTGTAGGAGCACAACCGAGTGCAGAAACATCAAAACAATAGTAAAAATTCGACTTTCATGCAGAACGATTGCCCAATTAACTACGTACATCCCTACTTAAACAATTTTATTATCACAGAATGCACTTTTTCACCCCAAATCCTCGAATCATAATTTAAAAAGTGTGGTTTTCTCTTGTCAATCGTTGGTCTAGTTCTTACAACGTAAAGCCCGTGGTTTCTGTGCCAATACACAAGAAACTATTCCAATTGAATATTTTAAACTTTTCTAAGCAAAAGGCAAGAAAACGATTTAGACAGGGAGATGTAGACATAAACTAAAAAAGTGTGCAATTTGAAATGGGTGTCTTCAACTGATGTTAAATGTTTGCCAAATAAGCTAGGTATTTCACCATGAAGGTGAATCTCCAACAATGTTAAACTTCTGGGGTGTGGGATAGACTTACCTCCTCGTGGTACACCCTTGGCAACGTATAATCATACGGCAAAAACGTCTATTAACCGGCAGTTGACTTCTCACTTCAAACTGCAATCACCCCACTGTATGTCGTATTCGACCCCTTCCACAGTACTCATCTTACCCTTTCTGAGCTTTTGTGTCTGTCTGTCTCTTTTAAATCGGTGAATCATTCTTCTATTCCCCCTCCCCTCTCTAAAGCTTGAATTCAACTAAAGAACTAATGATAACTATCAAAACGCCTGCCATTTGTTATCCAAAACAATTTCTCTAAGGAACTTAAAATGAAAACTGGTTTCTTTATTTGCAAATGACCTGGACGTATTCCAATAAAAAGGGCACATCTTGATCGCTATAGTAGATAATAAGACAGGTAAGAAAATCACACAATTTCCCTATAGGCATTATCGTTTCAATCAGACAAAAACAATACTTATCCATTGAAACTCACTCCAGATCCAGCATGTGAGCTCTTTCTCGCCAACGACGGTTGTGAAACATTAGAATCACATCTACTGGGTGTTTCCCCATCAGCACAAGCACTCCCGTCTAAAGCGCAGGCGACGTTTGATAGTCGGGTTTCCATTTTCCGCACCACCGCCTCTGAAATCCGCGCGATAGATGCCGCGGTCAAGAGTGGGGGTCTATCAGCCACAAGAGGACCGGCGATCAATTCATTGTCACGGGTAATCACCATGCCATCAAGACTGCCAACGGAAACTGTTCGTTGACGGCGCTTCTCCTCGATGATGCGTTGCATTATGGACCCACTGGTGTCGGTAAATAAATCAGACAAGTTCTTTTACTGTAAAGGTTTTTGCAAAGTAAACTAGAGCTCACTAGGTTAAAGGTAAGATAATCGAACTACCTACATTAAATTAAGTTACCTTTAAATCACTAAAAGAGATTGAAGGAATAAATTGAATTATAAGTAGAGATAGAACAGTTGAATTTACTGTCAAATGCTCTCAAAATCAGTTGTCGAAAATTAATTGATGTGGAATGATTTCCGTAACCGTAATGTTGGAGATTTTTTATAGACACTTACAACTATTTTACAAGAGAAGAGGTAAACAATTTTCTTAACCTAAATAACGACGAAAAATTGGCTTGACTTCATTAATAATGCAATTTTGTAAGCCCTAGCAGCAACAAGGTATGAATTAGAACTTCTTCTAATACAAAGGTATGCCTCGATGATAGACAAGGTTCTGTGGAGTATGCATTATTCTGAGCTGATGGTAGCTCGAACGTCAGTCGTCAACTTGATTGGAAATCATCATATATTACATTGAAAGGTAACTTCGTGCTGATTGATTCCACCCAGTAAGGTCCATTTGAAGTATGAGGTACTGCCCAATCAAATGTAAATCAATTAAGAGTAAGGTTCAATGATTCAAACTCTAACTCCCTTCCTCTCTATCCCTCTTTGGAGCTTCAAAATAAAGCTATAATTGCATAAAAAACAAAGGAAAAATTAAAGTACTCTGACAAAAAATTAACCACTAATACTTAGTAAAAAGATAAGTATATAATGAGCTGATTGTTATCATGCAAGTTTGTTTGTTATTTATAATTATAATTTACCAAACAAATTTAATCAGTAAACACCAAAAATTTGCATAAAATACTGTACATAATCGAGTTAAGCCAAATGGTAACTTTAAAAATAAGCCATTCCCATCACATTCTGAGGTTATAGAGGATAAAGTGATATTGAAATCAACTCACCAACGAATGTGCGTTAGAAAACCAAGAATAGAGGTTAAATAATACGCCAAAACTAAGACAGATCTCAAAAGCAATCTTTAGAGGTAAGGTCACATCGGATAAGTCACTTACACATTTGCAACCTTCGATACAGTTCTGAATTAAGAGATAATGATAATTAGACAAGGCTTGATCTTGTCAATTCAAACTTCCACGAGATGCTGCCGGTTAAAGGTTGATCAATTAACATGAGGTGTAATTTGTGCCACCTTGTCACTAATATCGACAGAAAACTTGAAGAGTTCATTTCTGTTAGAGTTTTTTTCAATACGATAGTAACGACTTTCATGAACAGAGGTTTGAATGTTTCTGTAGTTTCAAGGCAGTTAATTCCGCAATCGAACTCACAAGTTTTTTGGAGTACAAGTTTGAAGAAAAAGGGCGGTTGTGTTAAACCCATTGTCTTTTCGGTTAAGCATTTAGCAAACATGAGCTGGAATTGTCTATCGTCTTGCACACTGCCCTAAATCTAGAACGCACCAATAATGTCCAATAAAATCCGTCAATTGGGTGAAACTGGACAAAATTGACTCTTGAAAACATCGGCTCTTTTTGCATATTACCTAATGAATGTATCCAGCTGTTCACCGTTCTTTAATTTTGAGGCCAATTAGAAATGGCGAATTAACGGCCCTCTAATTGGAGGTTAGAAATCGCAGTCATACAATTTTTAACATCACAGGAGAGTGGCGCAACAACAAATTACCAATTTATTATTTAAATCAATAGGCGAATTTATTAAGAAATCACAGAATTAAATGAATAACAAGGGTAAAATTGTAGAAGAGGTTGTGCCTTCATTTATTTATCTTTTTATAATAAACTACGGGTAATCCATAACGAGTAAGTTGAACCTTTTTTTGAAAAATGTGCCCGATCCCATTCAGGCGTGCCTCACAGCAGTCTGATGCCTCCGATGTGATGAGTTTTGGTGGTAACAGGGGAAGGCTAAAGAAACACGCATTGAACATGCCTCAAACGACAATACCACCTTCTGTTACAAGTCTAGTACCAATGGGGAGTTTAGAAAAGCGGAGGCATAGTAATTTTATCTGCTCAAAATTCGACTTTCAAACGCCCAATCATATGGAGATAAAACTTCAGAGCTCTCAAACAATCGCAAACACGCTTTTAGTGCAAACTCTTGAGAAAATTGAGAGCCTAAACACTTATTAATCGAATCAATATGGAAATAGGAAACCCGCGAATAAATTGACTAAGCCAGCATTCTCAGTCGGTTTGGTTCTGAAAAGAACTTTGAGGGCTGTGGCCGCAAGGGAGACTTGTATAATAGAGAAGTATCCGCAGTACCAGAAATAGTCTGTATATTTATTTTTTGAGATAACGCATTATAGAGAAGGAAGTGAATAACCTGAATGTCGTAATGTTAACACGGAGAGTTGATTTAGCAGTTAACCTTCACTTTGGCGACGCCAGTTTTTCACATGTCGAGTGAATTATTAGCGGAGAAGAAAGTACGTATCAAAGTGACTTAATATGAGATCCACAAGTGCATTATTTCTATTAACGTAAACATTTAACACATAGGGACACGAAAATAAAAGTACACTTTACTGGGGGCTTGAAAATATTTACTCAGCACATATATCAGAATAGGCTATACATATGGACATATTATTTAGGAATAAGATGCATACTAAATGGAAGAAGAGGCGACAATGCTGTAACAAGGGAGAACGAATGTACTCAAATAGGACACTGAACGACTTTCACCTTGTTTGTGGTGACAAAAATGGAAGGAAAAAAGTTCAAAATAATGAATTAGTAAGGTAAAATCTACTTCATTTCAGCAGAGCAGGCACTAGGAGGTAAATATGAAGCAGCAGCGCTTCGATGGTAACTTACTCGTCGGAATCACTTGAGGAATCGCTTGAGGAATCGCTTGAAGAATCGCTGCACGAGAGCAGTCATGCTTATTTTAAGACAGATACTGTGGCAGATACTGTGGCACCACGGCTATCGGAATCCGACCATATGATAAACTCCCATTGAGGCACGCCGACTTGAGTACCATTGATCTCCCACTGTCTTCAAATGTGTCTATCTAATCAGCTGTAATAGGGGCACCATAAGATACTATATGAACTAGACCAGAAATGTGCTACTCCTGTGGTCATTGGTGGTTTTGAATAGATAAATGATGACTCTCGCTTTGAATAGGCGTCCGCATTAAGGCGAAACCAAATACTCGTGCACTCCCACAAAGAACAGTGTAGTACTCAAAAGATCATTGGTGTAGTAACCTCAATCACTTACCGATAGATTACCCTCCTCTGCTGTGCTTTTTGAGCCTTGAGAGCTTTCTTGGCGGCTCGTGCTTGAGAAGCTTGAGCACGCATAATAGCCTGGTTTTGTGCTTTCGCCTTCATGGCGGATTCATCGCGGTCTGTTCGAGGCCGTTTCGCATTCCCCTGTGACTTCTGCTTAGCAACCAACTGACGCTCCTTCTCCTTGGCAGCTTGCCGACGCAGTTTCTGAGAGCACTTAATCCTGAGATGA